GAAAGAAAAGAACACCCGAAGCACAAACAAACCATGCTACTTCTCCCCATATCCTGCTCTGCCAACTATATAAGCTAGCCTGAGAAAAATAAAGTTTGCCACTTGATCAGAATCCTGTCTTGTGGTCGTTCTTTCTACATCTCTTGTCCTCATTCTCTATTCCTGACTCTCTTGCTCCAGGTTGACATCCTGTGGGTCGGGACCATCACAGGAAGCCATATCTTCTCAAAAGGCAGAGAATAACTGACTGTGGATGCCAGTCCTCAATTAACATATTTACAACATAACCCCTATACTTAGGGCTCAGGGGAACATCACAGAAGAGAGAGGCAGAAAGATTGTAAGGACCAGAGGACCAGGACATCTGCTGCAAGATTGTTTCTTTTTTTAAAAAAGTGAACATGAAGTGAGGGGCTAAGGAGAAGGGGTGGGTCTAGGAGGAATTCAGGGGGAAGAGTGATCATTTAATATGAGCAAGACATGTTGTATTAAATTCACAAAAAGTTGATTAAAATATATTATCAAAATAAAATTTTTAAGCCCGGTAGTGGTGGCACATGGATTTAATCCCAGAACTTGGGAGGCAGAGAAAGTTGATCTCTGAGTTGGAGGCCAGCCTGGTAGTCTACAGAGCTAGTTCCAGGACAGCGAGTTGATTAAAATATATTATCAAAATAAAATTTTTAAGCCGGGTAGTGGTGGCACATGGATTTAATCCCAGAATTTGGAAGGCAGAGAAAGTTGATCTCTGAGTTGGAGGCCAGCCTGGTAGTCTACAGAGCTAGTTCCAGGACAGCCAAGGCTACACAAAGAATTCCTGTCTCAATAAATAAATACTTAAACATCTTAATTTAAATTAAAAAATTACCATAGGATCTAGCAATTCCATTTCTGGGTTTATATTAAAAAGAATAAAGAGCAGACACTTGAAAAGCCAAATCTTCACGTTTGTGGGCAGGATTATTTACAACAGCCACTAACTGATAGAAGAAGGACACAAACGAGGTGTATACATTGAGGTACATTAAGACTTACAAAGGAATGACAGGGTGACATTTGCTGCAATGTGAAAGAACCTTGAGAACGTGACATTAAGGAGACAAGCCAATTACAAAAGGACAAAGGGAGAGTCCACTTGCCTGAGGTACCCAGGGAGCCAAATTCAGAGAGGAAAGTTGTGGGGGACCGAATATTGGGCCCCAGGTTCTGGCTGTCAGCAGCGGTGGTGCCGACAGGGTGATATTTGCTGCAATATGAAAGAAATTGAGAACGTGACATTAAGGAGACAAGCCAATTACAAAAGGACAAAGGGAGAGTCCACTTGCCTGAGGTACCCAGGGAGCCAAATTCAGAGAGGAAAGTTGTGGGGGACCGAATATTGGGCCCCAGGTTCTGGCTGTCAGCAGCGGTGGCGCCAGGAAACTCCAGCCCATTATTGTATTGTTAATTAACACCAGGCTGTAACTGTTTACCTGGCCTGAGGGTAATATGCCTCTTATTTTGTATCTGTATGTGCCTAAGCATCTGAATAGGCCCTCACCTGGGAGGAGATGCAGGTGGTATGAGAGTTAGGACAGAAGGTTAGGAGCGGAGCGGGTGAGCGGAGAGAGAGAAAAAAGGAGAAATGGTTGCCTCGTGGTACTAGGGGTGGTATGAGAGTTAGGACAGAAGGTTAGGAGCGGAGCAGGTGAGCGGAGAGAGAGAAAAAAGGAGAAATGGTTGCCTCGTGGTACTAGCAGGATGGTTAAGGGACACCAAAAAAGGGGGTGTTCCTAGAAGCTTCCAAGTTCACACACCCCCCACTCAGGTAGAACCTCATAGCTGTCGTGGGTTAAAGCTGAGACAAGCCGGGCCACGACAGAAAGTAGAGCAGTGACTGTCAGGAGCTGAGGGTGAAGAGAGGAGTGTGGACATTTGTTGAGTGAGTGTCAGCTTGGCGAGAAAAATTCTGGACTCAGATAATGGTGATGGCTGCAGAACAATATGGATGAAAATGTGATACTTTTGTACATATAAAATGGTTAAAATAGCAACTCCAGTGTTGTATATGTTTTATGACAACTTAAAATTAATCCTGATGAGTTATCTATGGCCATACTGAGCATGTTTCTGACAGTAGCACCTGGAAACATGAGCTGCTGTGGCTCTTCGTTGGAACAGAATAAATGTAATGTATATAATTATAAAGGGTATTAGTATTATTTTGAAATGCATGAAGAAGTCAAAGGCTCAGACACCTTACAATCCAAAAGCAAAGAGCAAGTGAGCAAATGAGTGAGCAGGAGATGGAGAACGTTAGTCACCGCGTGGTCTCGCCAGCCTAGATGACCACCAATGGATGAATAGAGAATGAAAACGTGGGACATCTGCACAGTGGAATTTTATTAAGCTGTAAAGAAAAATGACATTTGTAGAAAAATGGAATGATCTGGGAAGTATAATATTAAGTGAGGTGATCCA